AGTAAGAGTGAGGAATAAGCCACTGATATGGGGATTGCCTATTTCCACAGACTAACCCCTGAGTCTCATGACTCACACATCTATAAATTCAAATAATACCCTCTCAAGATTTTTCTGAGGGTTAAATGAGTTAACTTATATGATGAAGTTATTACAGTGTTTGGCATATAATAGGGACACAAAATATGGCAGCTATAATTACTAAATAATAAAATCAAAACGGCTTTTAAAAAGTGTGGCATATTTGTATAAAATTAGATATATAGCATCTGCTCATCCTGACAGGTAAGTTGTTTTTTGTTTTCAAAAGTAGAGCATGGAATACTACGTGGCAATGAGAAAAAATGAAATATGGCCTTTTGTAGCAACGTGGATGGAACTGGAGAGTGTGATGCTAAGTGAAATAAGCCATACAGAGAAAGACAGATCCCATATGGTTTCACTCTTATGTGGATCCTGAGAAACTTAACAGGAACCCATGGGGGAGGGGAAGGAAAAAAAAAAAAAGAGGTTAGAGTGGGAGAGAGCCAAAGCATAAGAGACTGTTGAGAACTGAGAGCAAACTGAGGGTTGATGGGGGGTGGGAGGGAGGAGAGGGTGGGCGATGGGTATTGAGAGGGCACCTTTTGGGATGAGCACTGGGTGTTGTATGGAAACCAATTTGACAATAAATTTCATATATAAATAAAAAAAAAGAAAAAAAAATTTCAGTGAAGAGAAAAAAAAAAAAACAAACAAAACCCAGTGCTCATCCCAACAGGTGCCCTCCTCAATGTCCATCACTCACCTACCTTTACTTTTGTACATATGAGAAAATATCCCTACATTACATGGTTACATATATATTCCCTGAAACTTGATTTCTGTAATTTAAACTATTTCAAAAAGTGTATGAGAATTCCCATTTCTTCACCCCACCTCTATACCTGTCATCAGAATATTTAATGAATCAGAATAGTTAATAAATTTAAATATTCATTTCTAACTGATAAGTGTGTTTCCATGTCTGTGATTTGTATTGAAATTGAGTCTCTCCTCTTAAAAACTGAGAACAAACTGAGGGCTGATAAGGGGTGGGAAGGAGAGAGGGTGGGTGATGGGTATTGAGGAGGGCACCTGTTGGGATGAGCCCTGGGTGTTGTATGGAAACCAATTTGACAATAAATTTCAAATATTAAAAAAAAAGAAATTGAGTCTCTCTCTCTCTCTCCACACATATACACAGAGCCATTTTAAAATTTTTTCTTCCATGAATTTTTTGTTCATTTTATTGAGTTCTTTCTATACTTAATTTTTGTCAGGTAATAGGTAATAAAAAGTTATTTCAATACTTTTTTTACTTGAATTCATTAAATTATTAGTGAGAACTTTTCTTGTAATTATTGACCATCCACGTTTTTTTGTGCACTGTTTACAAATTTTGTTTATTTTGCTATTTTTCTGTAGGGTCTTTTGAGGCACTAATACCCTTCACTCACAGACAGATTTATTAATTCAACAGATATTTATTAGGTATTTATTATTTGCCAGACACTCCAGCCAAACACCGTATCCCAGATCTTTCTTCTAAGATGTAGATGCTTATATTTACTAGAAATGCCCATTTAGAGAAATAAAGGCATTAGTACCCATCCAGACATGCATGAATTGTCAAGGGAAACATACACTGGTCAAAAAACATTTATCCCTAAGTGTTGCATGACTACAGAGTAAAAAGGATGCAATGTGTAATTTGAGGAGACCACTCGCTCAGGAATAGTCTTTTTGTCATCTCTGTACTAATGGCAAGATTTTTAAAAAATTACATGTTTCTGAGCTTTCATTTACTCATTTTCATAATGGGAATAATTATATCTATATTGTAAAGAGCAAAAAAGCAAAATATTTTTTTTTATTTTTTAAATAAGAAATTTATTGTCTAATTGGTTTCCATAGAACACCCAGTGCTCATCCCAACAGGTGCCCTCCTCAATACCCATCACCCACCCTCCCCTCCCTCCCACCCCCATCAACCCTCAGATTGTTCTCAGTTTTTAAGAGTCTCTTATGGTTTGGCTCCCTCCCTCTCCAACCTTTTTTTTTTCTTCTCCTCCCCCATGGTCTTCTGTTAAGTTTCTCAGGATCCATATAAGAGTGAAAACATATGGTATCTGTCTTTCTCTGTATGACTTATTTCACTTAGCATCACACTCTCCAGTTCCATCCATATGGCTACAAGATGCCATATTTCATTCTTTCTCATTGCCACGTAGTATTCCATTGTGTATATAAACCACAATTTCTTTATCCATTCATCAGTTGATGGACATTTAGGCTGTTTCCATAATTGGGCTATTGTAGAAAATGCTGCTGTAAACATTGTGGTACAAGTGCCCCTATGCATCAGCACTCCTGTATCCCTTGGGTAAATTCCTAGCAGTGCTATTGCTGGGTAATTGGGAAGATCTATTTTTAATTGTTTGAGGAACCTCTACACTGTTTTCCAGAGTGGCTGCACCAGTTTGCTTTCCCACCAACAGTGCAAGAGAGTTCCTATTTCTACACATCCTCTCCAGCATCTGTAGTCTCCTGATTTGTTCATTTTAGCCACTCTGACTGGTGTGAGGTGCTTTCTGAGTGTGGTTTTGATTTGCATTTCCCTGATGAGGAGCAACATTGAGCATCTTTTCATGTGCCTGTTGGCCATCTGGATGTCTTCTTTAGAGAAGTGTCTATTCATGTTTTCTGCCCATTTCTTCACTGGATTATTTGTTTTTCAGGGGTGGAGTTTGGTGAGCTCTTTATAGATTTTGGATACTAGCCTTTTGTCCGATATGTCATTAAAGCAAAATATTTCAAGGGTCATACACAGCATATGGTACATTTGGTACTTCACAGATGTTAGTTTCCCTCCTTTCTCACATCCATCTTTCCTTTAAAGGAGATCCCTTTGTGGCGCCTGGGTGGCGCAGTCGGTTAAGCGTCCGACTTCAGCCAGGTCAAGATCTCGCAGTCTGTGAGTTCGAGCCCCGCGTTGGGCTCTGGGCTGATGGCTCAGAGCCTGGAGCCTGTTTCCCATTCTGTGTCTCCCTCTCTCTCTGCCCCTCCCCCGTTCATGCTCTGTCTCTCTCTGTCCCAAAAATAAATAAACGTTGAAAAAAAAAATTAAAAAAAAAAATAAAAAAATAAAGGAGATCCCTTTGAGATAATCCAAATAGCATGATTATATTATATATATATAATATATTATAATTATAATATATAATCTACATAATATGTAGATTATACATATATAATACACATATAATATACATATATACATATATAATATATATATTATACATAATATATATAATATATACACATATGTATGTATATACATATGTGTATATATTATGTATATATGTATGTATTATATGTATATATGTATGTATTATATGTATATATGTGTATATTATGTATATTATATTATGTATGTATCCCATGTAGTTTGACAATTTTCCAATATCTTCATTTTGAAACAGTGTATTATTATTACAGACATTCACATTAAAATAAGCCAGAATGGGTTTAGTAGACCATTTTTACTTGAATTAGCTTCCCGGTGCTATTGTAATAAACATAAACTTGAAGGCCTAAAACAATACACATTTATTCTTTTCCAGCCATGGAAGCCCTAAGTCCAAAATCAGTTTTACCAGGCTGAAATCAAAGCTGTTGGAAGTTTCTAGGAGAGGCTCACTTTTGGAGTCTCTAGGGAAGACTCCATTTTTTCTTGCCTTTTCCAGTGTTTATAATTGCTTTCCTTGGATCATAGCTCCTTCCTCCATCTTCAAAGCCAACAGCTTAGCATCATACTTCAGTTGTCACATTGCCACCTTCTGTAGTAAAGGTAAAATGCAGATGAAGTTGTGTTGACTTCTCATTCTATGAACACAACTTCTAATTTAGATCAAATTATTTTTCTTCTAATGTAGTTAAAGAAACCTTGAATTCCAAGTTTTTGTGTGCATGTTTAAAAACCAGAATGATAGCTGATAATATGTTGGCTCTATTAACAAAAGCATTCAGCAAACAATTATTAATAGTTTAAAATCAGCATCATCCTATGATTAAAACAGAAAATCAGTAACTATAGTGATTTGATATTACTTTAATCAAATTTATGGAATAATAATAATAAAATATTTTTTGAACTTCATATTCATGAAAGGGAAACATCCAGACTTTTTATGAATGGCACTGTGAATTTAGTTAAAAATTCAACATTGAGAATAAATTTTTTTGTTATATGGTGATAACATGAACACACATTTTGGTTGAGCAAAACACTGTAGAAACATCAATATTTTACTAAATTAAGAAACACGAAGAGAAAATAATTAGAATTAGTTGTGTCACATACAAAATTCATTAACTGTGTAAACAAGATGTATTTTGCAAATGAAAATAGAAGTGGTGGTTTCCCATATTTACACATAAAAACACTCATGCACACATATACTCTGTGTGTGTGTGCGTCTGTGTGTGTGTGAGAGAGAGAGAGACAGAGAGACAGAGAGGGGGCAGGGAGAGAGAGAGAGAGAGAGAGAGAGAGAGAGAGAGAGAGAGAGAGACTACACAGTAGAAGCTACAACTTGGCAATTTTCTACTTCTCTGGTTGGGTAGTGGTTTCACAATGTGAAAGACAGAAAGGGACAAACATAGGTTACTAAAAAGAGTGTTGTGAACCAAGGGTTATGATGAGTCCATGCATCTGTGGTACATTTAAAAAACGATGAATGCTTCCTTTTTTGCTTTGTAGCTGTTTGACACTCTCTCTAAATAAGAAGAGGTCAAATATTGGAGTGCAAGTTTCAAGTGTGAAGAGAAGTGAAGGGAGAAGGTGAGAAGGAAGTTGGTGAAAGCAGTTTGGGGTATACGGATTTTGAGGTTCCTCAGGGACATTCAAGCAGTGGTAGCCAATAGACAGTTGGCAAAGAGGGTCTAAAGCTCAGGGGAGAGGATAGCCTGGTGATGGAGATTTGAGAATCATCTGTGCTTAGAGGGAAATGAACAGAAATAACTCAGGGAGAGAGAACGTGTGGACTGAGGAGAGAGGAGGCCCAGGAACACAGCTACTCAAGGTGGCAGCTCTACTTTGGCGGACACTACCACCAGAGCTCTGGAGTCTGGCAGAGCCTGTCTTGAAAGCAGCCTGTGGGATTCCGTTGCTGAGTGCTCTCGGCAAAGTCGGGTACCCTCCCTGCGATCAGCTGTCACACCTGGCAATGACGTACCTCTCAGAGGGATGCTGTGTGAGGACCTGAGATGCGCGCCAGGTAAAGCACCTGCGGTAAAGAAGCCTCTGGGCTGCCCTCTCGGCGACCCCCTTTTGCCACACTGCTCCCCACCGTCTGTGGCTGGCTGGTCCCTACGGGATGGGGACGAGGGGGCGGAGCGGGGTGGGGAACCGAGCTTGGGTGACGCGGCGCTCACGTGACCGGTCGGGCGCCGACGTGGGCAGCAGCCCCCGCGCCCGCCTGCTCACCCACCCTGCGGTCCGGTGCCTGCGCTGTCCGCTCCCGTCGCCCGCGCAGAACCAGCTCCCTGAGCCGCCCGGGCGGCGGGCGAAGGGCCAGCGGGCTTCGGCGAGCCCGAGAAGGCGCAGGCTTGGCCCGGGCCCCGCAGGTCCCGCAGGTCGGTGTGAGGGTGGTGCTGCCGGCGGCCCGGGCAGGGGTGGAGGTGGATGGGAGTAGGATCTGGGAGCAGCGCGCGGTGGGGAGGGGTCCGGAAGGTTGGGGAGGAGGGGGACGCGGCGGGGAGGTGGGCAGGTGAGGAGGGAGCATCTTGCAGCAGGCTCTGTCGCCTCCTCGACGCCCCTCCTCTGCGCTCTCCATACATTTTTGGACCTGAAATGGGAGGGGGGCGCCCCCGCAGTGCGACAGTGAAATGTAGACAGACATATTCTAGCAATAACCCCCTCTCACACTCTGCACCTAAGTGGAAATATTGACCTCCGCAAAAAGAGGGTGAGGGCGGGCGGCTTGTCTGCAGGGGAGGGGGTCACAGAGATCCAAACAGTTTGGACAGCATCCTGGTCTGGAGCCTGAGGCCTGGAAAGTAATGGCGGCTGGGATGCGGGGGAGGTAAGTGAGGGAAATGTTGCATGAGGAGGGCCCAGATTCAGGAAAGAAACATCAATTTGCTGAGAGCAAATTGCTGAGACGCCCTGCCCCTGTCTCCTGTCTGTCTGCAGGTCTGTGTGTCTGTCCCCAGCATTCTGCAAGACTAGAAAAATAGGAAGAACCTGTTCAGAATCCCTGCGGGTGAGTGAAAGGAGGGAGGGACACTGGACAAAAACAGTGAGGGGAGGGTGTAGAAAGCACAGCTTGGGCAGAATTTGAGAGCCCCACTGCCCATCCCCCACCACATATATTGCACACACCCCACCACGCTTTAGGATGGTAGAGAAGATGGTAGGGCCTGCCAAGGAAATGGTTGGCTCTCAAGTGTGGGATGAATTGTGGGGTAGAGGGTGGGCAGAAGACACACTTGGAGGGCTGGGCCAGGTCAAAGGACCCCAGCCAAGGGGAAAGATGCCAGTACTATCAGGACCTGCATTCCACCTCCAAGCCCTCAGTCTCCCTTGTCTTCTTTATCTTCTCTTCCCCTTACCACCTCACCACACCCCCCAGTACAGGAAAAGAAGGGGAAATCTCAACATGGAAAAACTCTACAATGAAAATGAAGGAAAGCTGGAAATCGAGGGAAAGCCAGAAGATGAAGTAGATACAGAAGATGAAGGAAAATCAGATGAGGAAGAAAAGCTGGAAGTGGAGGGGAAGCCAGGGCATGAGGGAAAGCTCCAGAATGAGGGACAGCCAGATGATGAGGGACAACCAGAAGATGAGGGAAAGCAAGAAAAGCAGGGCAAGTCTGAAAATGAGGGAAAACCACACAGTGAGGGCAAGCCAGAATCCCTGGCAAAGGCTGAGTGTGAGTCGCGGGCTGCCGAAAAGCGCCCAGCTGAAGATTATGTGCCTAGGAAAGCAAAAAGAAAAACGGACAGGGGGACAGACGATTCCCCCAAGGACTATCAGGAGGACTTACAGGAAAGGCACTTGGGCAGTGAGGAGATGATGAGAGAATGTGGAGATGTGTCAAGGGCTCAGGAAGAGCTAAGGAAAAAACAGAAAATGGGTGGTTTTCATTGGATGCAAAGAGATGTACAGGATCCCTTTGCCCCAAGGGGGCAACGGGGTGTCAGGGGAATGAGGGGCGGAGGTAGGGGCCAAAGGGGCTTACATGATATCCCGTATCTTTAATGTCTTTGGCGTTCATTTCTGATTTCTCTAATGAGAATATTGCTGATCCTGCTTTTCCTGGCAGGCATTTGCCAGGCTATGTGCTTTAAACTTAGGCTGATACTTTGCTTTAGGTGTCACTCTTGTTACCAGCAGCCTTTTGATCCAACTACAGTGTCCTCTGTCTTTTAGTAGGGGATTTTCACCCATGTGCATGGAAAAGATGTTCATGGTACATTGTAAAGTAACAATAAAGAAAAAACAGTTTTCAGAACCACATATACAGTATCGGCCCATTTTTGTAAAAATATATTGGCATAATGCATTTGTTCACAGAGAAGACTCTGAAAGTGTGTTACACTAAAAAGTAGACAATATTTTTTCCTGTATGGTAGTCAAAGTAGGCCTCACCTTTACTCAAAAATGAGTTCAACCACATCATGATTTGGTTAGGTACCTCTGTGCCATTCCCCTGTGTGCATGCCCATCCCCATGTCTTTCCCTAGTTGTAACCATGTCAGTGATCACCGCTGCTCCTCCTGAGTCTTGTACCATCCTATGGCTCCCACCATGTGTGATTCTTTTTATTTGTTCACTCGTCTCTTTTTCCTAAAGGATATATGAATTATGTTTTTCATAATTAAAAAATAACTAAAACCAGAAAATAATACATGATTGAACTGTTTAATGAGTTTAAGAGGGCAGTGAAGATACTTAAAATTCCTGTTGTTAGAACATATGATAATAGGTAAAACTCCCATTTTCTGGGACTAATAGCTAGAGGAATCCACCTGCCAGTTAGACCCATTTCTGTAAGTGTCAGTGTTGTCATTTGTGAAATGGGGATATTACTTGCTTCATGGGCCTGCCAAGTGGATCAGATGAGGTACTGAGGATGTGAGCTGTGTTGTCACCCAGCCTCTACCAGATACTTAAGCGACAAATGGCTCCCACACCATTCCCATGCAAGAACAGGTATGTGAATGGAATCAGACACTTGGAGCAGGACTGAGGGAGGTCTCACTTGTGCCTGGTAACAACTCTAGGCAGCTAGAACATGAATGCAATTGTCTCCTGGATACTTCCATGTCCACTGAGCTCTGTGCCCTTTCTCCTGGGTACTGTACTCATTACTGATACTGTCTAATGAGGAGGAGGCCTTAAGGTGCCAAAACCCTATCAATTTCTCTAGAACAAATGCCCACCCACCCTTGACCCTTATAGAAGTGTGGATGGGCTTTTTCCCACTTGAATTACAATTATTCAGTTACCTGTTAGCAGCTGAATGCTAGTGCTACTTGGGACTCTAATATCTGTTATTTTTTAGCAAAATGACCATTTATATGTATTTTTTAGTTTGTGTGTTTTTGCATACATGAATATCCTCGTCAAATTCAGATATCGCAAGCTAGACCAGGAAAAAAAATATATCTGTATGATAAAAGCTGTGCTATTCTTACAGGTTAATATCTGCAAACTCTCTTTCCTAGGTTGAATTCTCTCCCAGGAAACTTGTCAGGCCCCACATGAGCAATTCAGCAGACACTTAAACATATTTAATTTTTAGGTCCTTATTCATGAACATGTTGTGTATAGACCAGCTGCATCAGTATCACCTGAGAGTTAATTAGAAATGCAAAATATCACGGGGTGCCTGGGTGACTCAGTCAGTTAAGTGTCTGACTCTTGATTTGGGTTCAGGTCATGACCTTATGGTTCATGATTTCAAGCCCCACATTGGGCTCCACACCAACAGTACGGAGGCTGCTTGGGATTCTCTCTCTTTCCCTCTCTCTCTGCCCTTCTCTTGATTGTGCATGTTTTTTCTCTCTCTCTCTCAAAATAAATAAATAAGCTTAAAAAAAGAAATGCAGAATCTCAGGACCTCCCTCAGACCTACTGAGTTAGAATCTTCATTTTAGCAAGATCCCCTGGTGATTCCTTTGCACGCTGAAGTTTGGGAACCACTGGCTTAGATGGAGACCCTTTCAGTCTCTCCACTCCCATGTTCCCACAAAATATGTGCCTGAAAAGATAAATATATGCACCATATAAGATACACATCACAGATTATTAAATAGACCTACATTTTCCAAACTGCAGTTACCCTTCCATGCATTGGTAGGTCTTGAAACCAACTCAGTGGGTCAAGACTTTGAAATTTTTAATGAAATAAAATAGAATAAAGTCAAATAGAAAATATAAAATTGCATTGCACCTATGGTGAATATCATGTAAAATTTGTGTTTCAGTATGCGTGTGTGTGTGGGGGGGGTGGATGTGGGTGTAACATGAATTGTGATGAGAAAATATATTTCTTACTGTGGGCTGTGGTTGTAAAAAATTGAGATACACTGCACTGGACTCTTTGCATCTCAAATCCTATCTAGTCCATTTCATACTTGTATCCCTAGTGCCCAGCACAGTAGCTGACAAATTGTAGGTATTTAATAAAAAGCATAAATAATAGTGACTAATTCAGGAACCCCAATTTTTCCCCAAGCCTAATCCCTGTCTACATAAATAACTTTGGACAAATAATTTTAATTGTCTAACAGGGTTTACTTACATTTCCAAAAGTATCAGGGAACCATGAGCTTCACAGAATGGATAGAGCCTACTGCAATTCACAGCCAGATTTGCCATTAGTAAGAATACACACACACACACACACACACACACACACACACTCAGCAGCACCAAGGAGAGCCACCAGCTGGAGACAGTGGGGTTTCTCAATCCCAGGAAGATAGACTCTGTAAAGTGAAATTAAACAACTGTGTAATCTGTGCTGTAAAAGGATCCAGTGGAGGACTCTGTATATGCCACAAGAGCACAGCCTCACAAAAGAACGGTATGCCTGCCAGAGTGAGAGGCCAGGGTAAGGAGCTGCCCTGGAGGGATAACAGTTGAGCTACCTGTAGATGATCTTTCCCCAGTTAGCCTGTGGGAATCAGGGCCTTAGATTTTAGAGACAACATCTATCACATTGGTTTTTTGCTTCGACTCCATATGTTTTCCAATTTTGAGTGGTACCCAGAGCAAGAAAAAGGTCTATGGGCTATATATAGTGCAAGCTTCTCTGACACTTCAGCCTCATGACCTGCAGACTCAAGTGTATTACATTCCTGCTATGTAGAGTCTATGAAGCCTTAAAAATTCCCAATAATAGAATTAAAAACCACACTCCCAGTGTTTTCGAGCAAACCATGCTCTCTTCTTTTAGCAATTAGTCTGTATTTGGGAAGCTACTCAGTTGGGCTTCCTAACAGACCCTGGTAGAGATTGAGCACCTAACAATGAGGTATTAATTTTCTGTATGAATGAGACACCCATTATGAACTTGTTTCTATTTACTCTGTTGAATAGTAGAGTTTTGTGTGAGCAACTGCAACTTGATCTAAAGGGCTGGGCTTGGGTACATCAGGAAGGCACAAGTAAATTACATGATACCTATTACTGCTACTTCATTGTCTCTTTCTCTCAACCATCATGTATGGCCTCATGAGAGTTCTTCATTACCAGTTAGAAGATGATCCAGTTTATGGATGTATCTTCTTGATATGTTGACAATAGATGCAAGTAGATGTCTGCTGCATTATAACCCCACTCAGGAATGACTCAGAAAAACATTGGGAAGGAAACATGTTGCCAGTGGGTAGAAAGCTATGTGGTTCATGTAGCTGTTCTCTTTGTATAAAACTCATGTCTGTAGGTATGGATCTACTCTGACACATATGCAATGATGAAAAGATTGGTCAGGGACTTTGGAAAGAATTAAATTGGAAAATTAATAACAGTGCAGGTATTTGCATCCCATGATATAATTATTTACTATTGCACAACAAACTACCACACAACAGCATGATTGCACTCTCTGCTCAGGGTCTCACAAGGCAGACATTAAAGTGTCAGCCACAATGAGTTCTCATCTGGAAGTTCTGAGGAAAAATATGCTTCCACATTCATTTATGTTGTTTTCAGAATTCAGTTCCTTGCAGCTGTAGCACTGTGGTACCAAATTTTTTTTTTTTTTTTTTTTTTTTTGCTGGCTATCTGCTGAACTGTTTTCAGCATATAAAAGCTTGCATTCTTTACCACAAGTCTCACTCCATCTTCAAGCCAGCAATAGCATATTGACCTTTCTCATGCTTCTAATCTCTGACTTCTCTGTATCTGACTCTAGACCCCTATTTAAAGGGATGATGTGATTACAACAGGCCTACCCAGATAATTTTCCCAAAGTCCACTGGTCTGAGACCCTAATTACATCTGCAGGATGGCTTCACAGAAACACATGAATTAGTATGTGATTAAATAACTAGAAGAAAAGTATATATGCAATTCCAGCTGGCAATTTGGTAGGCAATCTTAAAATTCTGCATACCACAGTCCACCTTCTGATTCCTGAGGATTCATGTCCTTTCCAAATGCAAAACATATTCACCTTCTCCCAAGGCTAACGAGAATCTCACTCCCTTACAACATTAGCTCAAAAGTCAAAATCTCATCATCTAAATCACCTAAAGCAGATATGGGTGAGGATCCTAGGTATAATCTGTTAAGTACAGTTCCTGAAGATATTTCTCTCCATCTGAAACTCCATGGGCCCATACACTAAGTGGTCATGGTGACAGAGTTGGATACTATGACTGGGCTCCGCAACATTGCCTTCCTATTACCAAGGCTGACCTGGCTACTGCCACTGCTTTCAAAACTCCCACAGAAGAAGACAATGCTGACCCATATATTTCGCACAATTTCCTGGTGCAACCAACTAGGTGCCTACTGGTAAATTGATTATATTGGAGCCCTTCTTTCATAGAATAGAGGAGTCATAATTTTATTCCTAAAAGTAATAGATATTCATATCAGTGGAAGAGTTGCCTTTACTGTCCATGACACTTCTGCCAGCATAATCATGTCTTAGTTGCCTGAATAGTGCCATACACAAAATCACCAAAATATTTTTCAACTAAGGAATTGATTTTGCCACAAAAGATAAAAAGAATTTAGCTCAATCTCATAGAATTTACTAACCTCTGACTTCTCTCATTGTGAAGATTTGGTGATAATTCTTTTTTAAATGTTTGGTAGAATTCAGCAGTGAAGCCATCTGGCCCTGAGCATTTATTTGTGGGTATTTTTTATTACTACTTAAATCTCTTCACCTGTTACAAGTCTATTCATATAATCTATTTCTGCTTTTTCACGGAGGTATAAAATACATACAGTATTATATTAGTTTCAAGTGTACAACATACTGACTTGACATTTTC